TGATAGGCACCAAGTCAAGGGGAAAGAGGGAACACTGTGGGGCTACTGTGAGAGAGAGCTCAGTCATGCACACCAGATTCAGGGGGGTTTAGGTGGCTCGTCTGCCAGCAATAAAAGACTGAAACAGGATACTTGGGGAGATTAATTACCTAGATAGGCCACGATAATGCCATTTAAATCGGAAAGTAATTAAAGTGCACCTTCCATGAAAATTATTCATTGCTGACGGATTGGGTGACAGGCAAATCAGGAGGCATTTACAGAAACCTACAGGTTAAGTGCCGGAGCGCTTGTGCTTCGGGGAGACCACCGCTGTTATATTGCAGCTGTTGAATCGGACTGCTTTGCCAAGCTCTCATCAAATTACTGCATGTGGAAGGACAGAGAAAAAATTGTGGGGCAAAAGAATGGGCTCCCAGGTAACATAAAACCACTGACAAATGCAACAAAGGAGGATCCGCTTAACTTTAAAATGACACCGGCCCCAGCTACCATGGTGGTGGTCAGTGGGGAATCCTCCGAATCAATCCACTCTGTTTAAGGCCACCATGACAGATTAGGACATAAAAGCAATCAATCAATGGGCCTTTGTTTCCAAAAGTGTTACTCTCACCAATGCATTGAGAAATATCCATTTTGTGGTGATAAAGTGTAGATAAAGTGACCATATAGATTACTGCTCTAGAACCACAGAGTATTAGCTTGCATGGTTGCCTGTTTAAACACTTCTCACTCCCAACATTTTTGGACTTTAAATTAATGATAAGTACCCATGTACCCAGATTCTTGAAGAATTTAACTTATAAATGTCTCATGATCAACTATGGTACCCCATCAGAACCCAAAATAAAAGTTTGTTTGTAAACAAAGAAAATGTAAACAAACACTATATAGCCTCAAAACACAGTTAAAACTATAATTTTGAGATCATGGATGGTCAGTCCTTGCATCCATAGCTCGGTCTATGAATTTTTGAGAGTGATTACATTTCTCCAGCCCCATCCTTCAGCTTTGTTATTGTTTCTACTGCTGAAAGGCGCTTTAAGGGAGATTAATTATCCAATCATAGCACTAATAATTGTATGTTGCTGTAGACTTTCATACAAATGACTGACATCAAACAATAACGTAGTCCTGACAATACTAGCAGCCCAACAACTTGTGTTGAAAGGGGGATATTTGCTTCTCACGCAATGCTAGAGCAGAGAGGCTTTTCAGATCAAAGTGAAATGCTTAGCTTACATTCATGCGTGCTACAATGCATTTTCTCACTGAGTGAAATGGTAGCAAAGGGAATAGCCTGTTGTTCCCTTTGAATGTTTAAATAGGTTTGTACTTGAGGACACTCTGATCTAATTTTAAGTAAATATGAAGTTACGCAACAATAGTCCTGATGGAGATTATCTAAAAATAAACCCAGAAGCAACATTGTTTAATCTGAATCCATTCATCTGCAACAATTGATCATAAAAGGCTATCAATGTGCGATCTATTACAGTTCCACCATGAAGGAGGATGAAATGAAGAATAAAATACAAGCCCCAATCTACATCGAGGTGTAAATAATACATGTTGCTAAGTTATATCCCAATCCCATACTGACTCATGCTAGAGGGCTCTGAACACAAACAGCATTGCTCAGCGCCAGTAGACGTTTCTATCAGTATGTAACCTGTTCGCTGCTCCTGGCTAATATGAGCAGTCAGCATTAAAATCAATTTCCACAGCTTCCCCCCTTCCCTCTTCAAAAGTGCAATATGCATTCATCCTTTTGCCATTTCCTGGTTGCTAAAAATCTAATAGTTTGCCTAATTTCAGTTCATGTGACAAAACAAGCAATGTAGTGTATAGTGTAGAGAATCATTGTACCATCTAAACCGCTGTGCAATATATTTTCAATAACCAAAAATACTGTATATTCAGCTGTTTGAAGCTGGTATACAAAACCGAAAGTAAAAGACGCAAAAATTCAACGGAAAAAACAGGAAGCATAGAAATAGCATACATAGAATAGATCTACCGCTTCTTAGACTTGATTTAAATGAGAATGATCTATAACACACATTTTCTATGTGAATTTGGTTGGGTTGCCCAAAAAGTTACATATTGCAGCTTTAATATATTGTTACGCCTCTTTCTGCTCACACCTTAACAGCATCATCCACTGGTCTGTGGCTGAGTGTTACGCCACACATTGTGCTCATATAGCCATTCCCCTTAACCAATTCCAATCTTATTTCTACCTTGGTTCTCCACAGGGAATTTTTGGGCTGAGATGTGCACACACACTTTCTTGAATAGATATTAATGGTTATTCCATAAGCAGTTGCCACTCACAGGCTTCTGAAAGAACAAAAGGCCTTCTTTACAAGTGTGGCGGCATGAAAGCATCCGGAGTATGGAGGACCTTCGAGGGCAGCGCTGTAGTGTTGTCAAGCGACAATAGAGCCCTGATTGAAATGCACTCTCCGTCTAGCTAGCCTAACTTTTCCCGGAAAAACTCCACCTCATCAAGATGTGATGACAAATTCATATTCCTTCACCTGGGTAGGAGGATGTGGTGAGGATGCGAGGGGAGAGTCGAAGACAAATCAAGATGATGAACTTGTATGCGCCGCGTCACCAACAGTAGCTATTTAAACACACTTATAGACAGAGCTGAGAGGTAATTAGGTTTTCCTGGGAACAATAAGCACTCAGCACCTTGTGTAGCTCCTCAACTCATCCATGGCTGCAGACTGCCTCACAGCCTTACTCCTCACACTTCCTTTGGTATAATTAGGGGAGGTGTGAATTCCTAATCAGATGGATCACCATCTGCATTCGCGCAGCACTGCGGAGCATTCCTTCCCCCAGTCAGTCACTCTGCTCCACTCCTTCTCTCTTCTTCATAGGTTGATTATCATTCAGCAGGAGAGAGAGGCACTACCTGCTAGATGGTCTCTCCTCTCCTCTCTTCAAGGCTTTTTCAGGACCATGGCTCACTCTCTCTCTCTACCTCCATCCCGAGGAAAGGTTAATCAATGCTGGATGATGAGGCGTAAAAGGGTTTATTATTGCAGTCATTCATTAACAATGTGGCCCTACTGTACATGCTTGCTCGGGAAGGTGCCATTGTTTTAGGAAGTGCTGACGTTCCAATTAAAAAGCGCTGGAGCGTTCCCTAATGGCCTGGGAACAGCAGCCGGACATGATGAGGGCCCAGTGGCCAGTGCTGAAAGCACCGCAGGACAGGGTTAATGTCTAGACTGCTACCTACACAGTAACACTCTGATTCTTCCTGCTCTCTCACATGAGGATCTCACTAACAATATGTGTTTGCACATCATCAAACTGAAGCCAAGCAGTCTGTTACATCCCTAATTGTTGAAATTAGTCATAATGTATCTAGGCTATAGGGTAACAAAACATCTATAAACACATCTAATTACACTAAATAGTAGTGAACATCTCAAACTATGTAATTCTTGCTTCAAATAGTAGCCTAATGCTAGCTTTAAGACGTAAACATAATTTATTCCTCATCAAACGCTTCCTTCTACTTCCCACTACTTCTGATGGCTAAATATTCCTCAGGGTTAACAGAGTAATCGTCTGTTGTCAACATGCCACGTTTAATTATAAGAGGCTCTGAGGGAGCCATGTGTTAATTGTTTTTCTCATCTTTTCCTGCAGGTCTACCTCCTTGCAGTGTCCTTGTGTCCTTGGCAAGGCAACCCCTAGAACCATCCAGCGTGTGTCTCTGTCATGAACCGTGTCACAGAACATACATCATTCCCTACAGTTTAACCCACATTCATTCTGCTGCCTGGCCGCAATTATCCATTCTATTTCTCTCTCGCTCTTTCTCTTTATCTCTCCTCTCTCTCCTTTTGGCAATCTTAGAATGGGGGTTGTTGCGATATCTTCTATTTTGTTTAGTTGATGGGTTTTTTTCTCAGTACATGCAAACAAATAATGAGTGCAATCAAAAATGTCTGAAATGCAACAGATCCTGTATGCAGATTCATCTTACTGGGAGAGTATCATAGCACCACAGGACATGGCTGCATGTTCAGGATTGCCCCAATTCTTTGAGCAAGAAAACTCGAAAGAGTTGCAGCTCTTCTGCATTCATGTATAGGGTTGGGTTGGGGTGAAGCTAAGCCTAAAAAGACAACATCCCAAACCTCATTTCAGGTAATCTGAAAGGTGGTTCAAATTCAAACTTAAACGTATACCACAAGAGCCTCAGTGTGCACCACACGAGTTCCAGAATTCTCATAGCTACTGGTTAGCAACATGGTTATGATGATAATATTCCCCAAACACTCTTTACAAGCTACAATGGCTGTGCAACCCTCTTTTAATGACCCTAGTTAGTATTCCCTTTTGTCACCAACTGTGCTTCATGGATGCTTGAGCATGAAAGATAAATCTTGTTTGGTGGATCCATAGAAATAATGAATTAAAAAAGGTGTAGTGCTGCTTTCAGTTGGTGTCACCAAAAAAAGACAGCATTTTAATTATGTTAGGTTCCCAGGGGAGTTAGCGACACGCACTGTTTCCTATGGTACAACTGGCAGCAAGCCTTGCTATGCTACTAATGTTTGCCACCATATCTGTAAATATCTCAGATACACACATTAAATTAATCTGGGTAATATGCCAACTATAAATGTTGTAGATCAGCCTATGATCATTAATGCCAATGTGGTATGATTAAGGTACTTAGTACTGCAGACCTCAGTGCAAAATAGCTATATGGTTTTGTATGTAATATATGCTAGTTTGTATTGTGCATACACTAAGTGCAAACGTTTAACTTTATACTGTATCCTAAAAGGGCCATATCTTCCTCGCTTTTCCAGAACATCTAGGAGAACATGAAGTGCCACATATGAAAATGTGTATTTCTTTGTAACTTAAACAAAAAGGCAATTCTAGATCACACCAGCGGAATATGAAAGTGCAAGTAATATAGTTTACAGGGAAGGGTGAAAAAACACCTTTTCCTTCTCTCAGTTAGGATGCAGGACCCTTGTTCTAGAATCTAGCCAAACCACAGAATTAAACAGAACATTATATTTTATCTCTATGAGCCAATCAGATTCCTTACCTGCTTGACTGGTGGCGATGCTGACTGCGGCGAACAGCCTCTGGGTGCGGCTGAGGTCAGATACCCCGTTGACTGCCTCAACCTCGAAGGTGTAGTTGGCGTGGGCCAGCAGGTCCACCACGCTCACGTAGGTGTCCACTAATCCCGCCTGTTGGGGGGAGTATCCCACGTTCCCCCCGCACGGCATGCACTCCTCCGGCTCCCAGCTGCAGCGCCGGCACATAATCCTGTAGGTGACGTCGTTGCGGCCACCCGTGTCGGCCGGCGGGCTCCACTCCAGGCTGACCGTGGTCTGGTTGATGTTATAGACCAGGTTCTGTGGCGCCGAGGGAGGTCCTGTCAGGGCGGGAGGCAGAAAAAGAGGGAGAGGAGGGAAGGAGGGAGAGGAAGGAGAGTTAAATAACAGAGTGCCAGGGAGGGAAAGTGACAGCAGACTGTGTGTGTGCACTGACTGGATCTATGGTTCACTGTTCTGCTCTGTCCTCTTAGACTGACTGCCACGGGACATGCCAGCTATGACCCCTTGAGCCACACACCGACACACAAAACTAGTGCAGGTACGCAGAGAGGAAGTCAAATACCAGCAAAGCCAAGGTCAATGAGGAGTAGGCTATGAAACTGAAACAACTCATGGGGACTATTATAATGCATAATGATTGCATTCCTACGACTCTGATTTGATGCTGTACATGCTAAATACGAATGTTAACGTGTTAAGTATTGGCAATTGTAATGTCAGTTGTGTAATAGTATTGCCTTTCGAGTGTGACAGGTACATGTTTAAAGGTATGAATGGTTCATGGAAGGTGAAGGTAGGTGCTTTTCGGATGCCCGTTCTGTTCATTTAATGGTCATGCATTCACAATTCACAAATTGTCGTTAACATTCAAACATGGAATATATATCAGAAATGTGACATTGGTAGGAATATCTAGTTTTGAAATGATTGAGATGTCATTCCAATGTAGAATTATTCATCCTGAACAGAGGATCAGAGGGAGGCAGATATGAGGCTTTATTAGCTCTCCCTCTGTCCTTCCCAAAATACAATTATCCCAGTGTGAGACAAAGGGTTTCCTTCCCAATGAATCGCGGAGACAAGACACTTAAAGTTTATGTTTTTGAAAAATTGCCCCAGAATTTACAAGTGAGATTAAATCTGAGTTATCGCCCCACAATAGCCTCTATATAGAATATCACTGGAAGCACACTAACCACTAGTTCCATAAATCCCCCAGACTGCACTAGAACACAAACCATTGTCCTCTGAACAATGGCAAAGAATTATACACTTCTCATAAAAACAATGATTTACAAATTGCTGCTTTTATCATTCAAATTCCAGCCCTTGTTTTTATGACCCAGATGTTTATATACTGTATGGCTGCAATTGAGTGCTCATTCTATATCCCTTTTAATGCACTATAGATTATGACTTGTATTCTTTGTTCATGGGCGTTTTTAAAAGCATCTTTAATTTCCCTCTGAAATACTAAACGACTCCCTTTTCATCCACATTTTTTCCTCTAGTGAACCTAGAGCTTCTCAGCCCATTTAATTAGACAAAAGTATTTACAAATAGGTAATACATATGCATAGAGCGAAACTTACAATCGTCTGAGTCATTAACACTGCACATTAGGTTATTTTCCTAATTCCTCCCATTAGGAAGAATGATGCAGGCAGAACAGAGCCATCCATATTCATGGCTACAGAGGGACATTATGAGACTGTGCCGTTGATACTCTGGGCTCTGGAGATGAAAGAGACGTGTGGCAGCTGAAGAGAAGAGATGGCACGACTCTCTAGCTAGCGCCAAGGCACGACTTCAGCACTGTCACCTACACTCGACCTGCGCTAATAAAGGAGTAGTTCACTATTTTACAACTTGATGTTAGATTGTTCCTCACCCTGAAAGTAGTCTATGGGCCAAGAGAAAATGTAATCCAGGGTTCAGTCTTCTTTAAACAGCCACTACAAATGTCAGCTAACCTTAGCCACCACAAGCTAACAATCAATGGAAGTGATGGGGGCATGTGAGCATGTTTTTAAAAATTATGTTCAAATCACCTGAAATCAATTCAAATCAACTCCATATTTTGTTTGATGTTACTTAAAGGTGATTTGGCTATTTATTTTTTTACATGCTCACATGCACCCATCACTCCCATTGATTGTAAGCTTGTGGTGGCTAAAGTTAGCAGTGGCTGTTTAAAGAGAACTGAACCATGGATTCCAGTTTCTCCTGGCCCATAGACTACTTTCAGAGTGAGGAACCATCCTAACATCAAGTTGTAAAATAGTGAACTACTCCTTTAATCCTCTTCAGGGACAAAGAGCGAGAGTCACACACATACACACACATGTGCATGCACAAACACACACACACACACACACACACACACACACACACACACACACACACACACACACACACACACACACACACACACACACTCATCTTTCAGGGGTCTGTTTGTATTGCATTACCATGGTCACGGTTACCAACAGACTATAGCTTGTTTTATTTACTCAGCCACTCTCATTGGGTCTCAGGTGACAAAGATCAGGGCAGTGATTTCAGAGATAACAGCTGGAGGAGGATATTGAATTAGAATGGATTTGAGTGGCCTGTGTTTTGTTCTAGTTTTGCGGACATGGAATACAGTGAGTGCAAGCTTCCCCTCACTGTCCTAGGCTAGACATTGTGCTTCCTGTTCCCTGGGTTGGCTTTGTTCCCCGCCACTGCACAGTTCTCTCCCTGCCTCTGTAAGGTGAGGTGACACTGTCCTCCCCCTGCCTTACCTGCAGCTCGGAGAGCGACATCCTGAGCCTCCGATGTCTGTCTGCTGATCCTCGTAGCTCAAGGGCTTGCCGCCCTCCCTCTCTCTCTCTCTCTCTCTTTTTCCGTCTCTCACTCCTCTCCTCTCTCTGTCTTATCTCTTTATGCTTTCCCCTCTCTCCCCCTCCTACCAGTGAAGTTTCATTTCACGGATTAGTCTTCCATAGCCCTCAGAGTCTGAGATGTCTCAATCACATGCTAGCTTCTTCCTTCCAATGCCGCATTGTGTGTGCACGTGTGTGTGTGTGTGCGTGTCTGTGTGTGGGTGAATGTGTCCTGTCACCTCCTTCTTATAGCGTAATACAGCTGATTCTCCAGAAACTGGGTGAACCTGTGATATCGGTGATGAATAACCGCCTCTGACAGCACATTCACGCGTCAACTGAATCAAATTGACCATTTTAACTGAATGATATTGCATAAACCAAGATGGCTGACTCTTTTGGTTAATAGCAATAGTTAGTAGATAATTAGGTAATCTTCCTGAGCCTGTCTCTCTGTGTAGAGCTGAGAGACCTGAGTTAGTCAGAGGGCTTAGGAGAAAAGACTGATGTGCTGATCTGCTGTGAGAGAGAGCAGAGCTAAAGGAGAGAGGTGCTCTTGGCCGTCTCAGCCCTCCACTGCTCTATTAGGGGGCTGCACACTAATTGGAGGGATGGAGGGAGAGGGGAGGCTGGGGGTGAATGGTATTCAAATCAGCCAAGCACTAATCCTTCATCTACAAACATGTGTCATGACCTTTGACCTGGGTGGTTTAAAACCTGGTTGAGTGAAGCCATGTGGAAGAGAGGGAGGCCGTGATAGGAGGAGGAAAGGGACTGGACCCCAACCGTCCCCTAGCAACTACAGGCTGGAATCATACAAGATCTCCCATCATTTCTCCTCTCTTCTCTATTCCTCACCTCTTCTCTCTCCTCTCTCTGCCTCTCTCTCTCTGGTCTCTTCTCTCTCCTCTCTCTCTCTCTCTCTGTCTCTCTCTAGAGTCTGCTCCTCTCTCTTCTTTCTCTCCTCTCTCTCTCCCCGGTCTCTATAGATCTATGGAGTCAGCGTATAAGAGGGGGGAAGGATTAGGAGATTCTGCTCTCTCTCTCATGTCTCTCTCTATTTCTCTAGCTCTCTCTCATCCTCTCTCTCTCTCTCTTCTCTCTTCTTTCTCGCATTTCTCGTTCTTTCCCCTCTGCTCCCCTCTCCTTCTCCCTCTCTGTGAGATGTCAACTTGTTGAGGTGGCAAATTTGAGTGGGACGACGGGGGCGAGAGGGGGGAGAGGGGAGGAAGGGGGGAGATGGCTGCTCAAAACTGCCCTTTTCAGACCCTGCTAGCACCAGCACTGCTCACAGCTGTCACATGATTGATGCCCACTCCCCAACCTGTCAGCAGCTTCAAGGCTTTGCTCCGCTTCTTGAAAAATGCTCCCAGCCTTCCTGCAGTGCCATCCTCATATATTTCTCATTATCTCCTGGCTTTGCATAAGAATGGAGTGAGCAAATATTGGAAAAACAATATCATACAATGTATTTTCCCTTCTCTCTCAACACGCAATATTTGCAACAATGATAATGGAAAATATATTGTCCGACGCCTTTTCAAAACTAGTGTCTTAATTTCCGTTTTTGCCTGTTGCAGTGAATTACCTCTCCCAACATATCCATGTTTAATCTTTATCTTCCCCTTCGTCCAATCTTAGTCTCATAAAGACATTCCTAATCCATGTGCTGCAGAGATCTGTCTCTCTGTTTGTACAGAGCCTAAGATAGGGTGGTTTACAAGCGCCCATTTAAAAATCTGTCAATCAAGTTGTTTACTCAAGCAATGTAAATTCACTTTCAATTACTATTGAATTCTACCCCGACCAGACCAGACCAGACCCCACAAAGGCTGGCCCACATGGGGGAAAATGTAGGGAAAATGGCGCAGCACACATTCTACAAAAATAGTCGCTTTCAAACTAGGGATTTCAAATCAAATCAAATCACATGCGCCGAATACAACAGGTGTAGACATTACCGTGAAATGCTTACTTACAGCCCTTAACCAACAATGCATTTATTTTTTTATAAAAAAATAAAATAAAACAACAACAACAAAAAAGTGTTGAGAAAAAAAGAGCAGAAGTAAAATAAAATAACAGTAGGGAGGCTATATACAGGGGGGATACCGGTGCAGAGTCAATGTGCGGGGGCACCGGCTAGTTGAGGTAGTTGAGGTAATATGTACATGTGGGTAGAGTTAAAGTGACTATGCATAAATAATTAACAGAGTAGCAGCAGCGTAAAAATATGGGGTGGGGGTGGGGGGGCAGTGCAAATAGTCCGGGTAGCCATGATTAGCTGTTCAGGAGTCTTATGGCTTGGGGGTAGAAGCTGTTGAGAAGCCTTTTGGACCTAGACTTGGCGCTCCGGTACCGCTTGCCGTGCGATAGCAGAGGGAACAGTCTATGACTAGGGTGGCTGGAGTCTTTGACAATTTTGAGGGCCTTCCTCTGACACCGCCTGGTATAGAGGTCCTGGATGGCAGGAAGCTTGGCCCCAGTGATGTACTGGGCCGTAAGCACTACCCTCTGTAGTGCCTTGCGGTCGGAGGCCGAGCAGTTGCCATACCAGGTGGTGATGCAACCAGTCAGGATGCTCTCGATGGTGCAGCTGTATAACTTTTTGAGGATCTGAGGATCCATGCCAAATCTTTTCAGTCTCCTGAGGGGGAATAGGCTTTGTTGTGCCCTCTTCACGACTGTCTTGGTGTGTTTGGACCATGATAGTTCGTTGGTGATGTGGACACCAAGGAACTTGAAGCTCTCAACCTGTTCCACTACAGCCCAGTCGATGAGAATGGGGGCGTGCTCAGTCCTCTTTTTTTTCCTGTAGTCCACAATCATCTCCTTTGTCTTGGTCACGTTGAGGAAGAGGTTGTTATACTGGCACCACACGGCCAGGTCTCTGACCTCCTCCCTATAGGCTGTCTCATCGTTGTCAGTGATCAGGCCTACCACTGTTGTGGTATTGGAGTCATGCCTGGTCATGCAGTCATGGGTGAACAGGGAGTACAGGAGGGTACTGAGCACGCACCCCTGAGGGGCCCCCGTGTTGAGGATCAGAGTGGCAGATGTGTTGTTACCTACCCTTACCACCTGGGGGCGGCCCGTCAGGAAGTCCAGGATCCAGTTGCAGAGGGAGGTGTTTAGTGCCAGGATCCTTAGCTTAGTGATGAGCTTTGAGGGCACTATGGTGTTGAACGCTGAGCTGTAGTCAATGAATAGCATTCTCACATAGGTGTTCCTCTTGTCCAGGTGGGAAAGGGCAGTGTGGAGTGCAATGGAGATTGCATCATCTGTGGATCTGTTGGGGCGGTATGTAAATTGGAGTGGGTCTAGCGTTTCTGGGATAATGGTGTTGATGTGAGCCATGACCAGCCTTTCAAAGCACTTCATGGCTACAGACATCAGTGCTACGGGTCGGTAGTCATTTAGGCAGGTTATCTTTGTGTCCTTGGGAACGGGGACTATGGTGGTCTGCTTGAAACATGTTGGTATTACAGACTCAGTCAGGGACATGTTGAAAATGTCAGTGAAGACACTTGCCAGTTCGTCAGCACATGCTCGGAGTACACGTCCTGGTAATCCGTCAGGCCCTGCGGCCTTGTGAATGTTGACCTGCTTAAATGTCTTACTCACATCGGCTACGGAGAGCGTGATCACATAGTCATCCGGAACAGCTGGTGCTCTCATGCATGCTTCAGTGTTGCTTGCATAGAAGTGGTTTAGCTCGTCTGGTAGGCTTGTGTCACTGGGCAGCTCATGGCTGTGCTTCCCTTTGTAGTGTGTAATAGTTTTCAAGCCCTGCCACATCCGACGAGCGTCAGAGCCGGTGTAGTATGATTCAATCTTAGTCCTGTATTGACTCTTTGCCTGTTTGATGGTTCGTCGGAGGGCATAGCGGGATTTCTTATAAGCATCCGGGTTAGAGTCCCGCTCCTTGAAAGCGGCAGCTCTACCCTTTAGCTCAGTGCAGATGTTGCCTGTAATCCATGGCTTCTGGTTGGGGTATGTACGTATGGTCACTGTGGGGACGATGTCATCGATGCACTTATTGATGAAGCCAGTGACTGATGTGGTGTACTCCTCAATGCTATCTGAAAAATCCTGGAACATGTTTCAGTCTTTGCTAGCAAAACAGTCCTGTAGCTTAACATCTGCGTCATCTGACTACTTTTTTATTACCCGAGTCACTGATGCTTCCTGCTTTAGTTTTTGCTTAGAAGCAGGAATCTGGAGGATAGAGTTATGGTCAGATTTGCCAAATGGAGGGCAAGGGAGAGCTTTGTATGCGTCTCTGTGTGTGGAGTAAAGGTGGTCTAGAGTTTTTTTTCCTCTGGTTGCACATTTAACATGCTGGTAGAAATGAGGTAGAATTAAAGTCCCCGGCCACTAGGAGCGCTGCCTCTGGATGAGCGTTTTCCTGTTTACTTATGGCCTTATACAGCTCATTGAGTGCAATCTTAATGCCAGCATTGGATTGTGGTGGTAAATAGACAGCTATGAAAAATATAGATGAAAACTCTCTTGGTAAATAGTGTGGTCTACAGCTTATCATAAAATACTCTACCTCAGGCGAGCAAAACCTAGAGACTTCCTTAGTATTTGATTTTGTGCACCAGCTGTTGTTTACAAATATACACAGACCGCCACCCCTTGTCTTACCGGAGTCTGCCGTTCTATCCTGTCGATGTAGCGTATGTTGTCCATGTCGTCGTTCAGCCACGACTCGGTGAAACATAAGATATGACAGTTTTTAATGTCCCGTTGGTAGGATAACCATAATCTTAGGTCATCTAATTTATTTTCAAATGATTGAACATTGGCTAATAGAATTGATGGAAGAGGCAGTTTACATCACTTGCCGTCGAATCCTTACAAGGCACCCCGACCTACGTCCACGATATCTCGGTCTCTTTCTCCTGCGAATGACAGGGATTTGGGCCTTGTCGGGTGTCTGTAGGATATCCTTCGCGTCCGACTCGTTGAAGAAAAAATCTTTGTCCAATACGAGGTGAGTAATCGCTGTCCTGATATCCAGAAGCTCTTTTTGGTTATAAGAGACGATGGCAGAAACATTATGTACAGAATAAATTACAAATAACACGAAAAAACACACATAATAGTACAATTGGTTAGAGGGCTGTAAAACGGCAGCCATCTTCTCCGGCGCCATCTCACCATTGTGGCTAATTGAGGTAAGACAGTAATCATGCATGTATGAACTACACATTGAAACATCCAGCCCAAAGTGGGATGTTTCAAAATATATTTAGTAGTCGCCAAAGTTCCGTAGCATGTCTTTATGTAGATAAACAGTGGAATCTATTAAATAGACAACTTGACCAATGGCCATTTCATACCTCTGTTTCCACCTATGTGATTCTTCACATCAGAACAGACAGAGGGCATCAGGAAATAACAAAAAAATATATAACTTAAATAAAGGTGAAATAAATAAATAAAAATGGTCAATGTAAGTGGCAAAGTTACTATTTTCATCTTCCGACAGTAAAACCACAGGACGGGTTTGGTGGAGAAAGAAATGGATCTGTCTTTCATAAAATCATCTGAGTGGTTACTGTGGAAATGTGGGCTTTTTGTTTCCTACCAGTTTCTGATTGGAGAAGGTAGAGGGTGGGAAGGGGGAAGAGGTAGGTAGAGTCTGTCCTGTCCTTGTTTCAAGTCAAGGACTGAATTAAGACTGGCCAGAACAAATATGGACAGAGAGAGAGAGAGACGCTGAGATAAATCAGCCTGTCAGATTTACAGAGGAAGTTCGCTTTTTCCATCTCTCCTTATTAGCCCAGTCCTTGTACCACCCTGACTGTGCTACTCTTCCTTTAAATTAGGCCTAATTTTATTGTCCCTGTGTCCTCTCCCTCCCTCCCCCTCTCTCCCTCCCTCTCCCTCTCTCTCTCGCCTTCCCTCCATCTCTGTGGAGTCAGTCATTGATTGGGGGGGGGGGATTGCCCTGTAAAAGCACCCCATGATTCAACCTGTTTGGGAGCAACAGAAGTGGATTTGGGAGCAAATTAGCCCCGCCCTCTAAAATGGATCCCCTGGCCTGTGTAAACAAGTCATCAATGGCTGTCACATAATTGCAACATTGACCAGAACAAATGGAGACACGGGGTGCTGCTGTTGACTGTAATTGCAATCTTTTAGATGGGAAATGGCAAATTGCTCCTCTGATCATTAGCTACCAGCCGGGGGGGTGGGGGGGTTAGAGAAAAAACACACACTCAGGTCAATTAACATAATTATAAAGACATATTGGGAAGCAGAGGCAGGGGACTGGTATGGGCTCTGGAGTGGATTGGATGGTGAACAGACATTCTCAGTGTGGGCAGCGGGGGTCTGGAAGGGTTGCTTGAGTGTGCGCGTGCATGTGCAAGCATGTGTTCATGGGTGCATAAATGCAGACTCTACGACAGGTCCTTCCTGTATTTACCTAGCAATGCTCCATTACTTACTTGTGCAGGCCACAGAGGCTGGGTCCGAGAGCGCCCGGTAGTAGCCGTCCTCACAGTCGCAGCGCCACGAGCCCTCCCGGTCGTTGTAGCTGTGTGCTGGGCAGCGCGAACACTGCAGGTCCTGGGACGAGGACTTGTAAAACCCACGGCCACATGCTACAACCAGAGGAAGAAGGGAAGGGAGAGAAAGGGTTTGGTTCACACTTGAATTCCCAGAAAAGGGAAAGGGCATGATAGAACAGACCATTACGCTTGTGTTCACATCACACAGCAGCTGGTGTTTGGATCAACCTACCCCTCCGGCTTCATCAACCAGCTTAACAAACCCCACTTCAAAAAACATCACAAATATCACCATGTCAAAGCCTGCACTGAATAGGGAAAAATGACTGCTTATTAACCTGAGAGGGAAAATAGGGCTATTTTTGGTCTGTTTTATATCCCCTGGTCATGAAATAAATACGTGTCTTGTTTATCAAAGTCCAGTCAGAGCGGGAGTGTTGTCCTAGTCAGGCATACAGTGCTAAGTGAGGTGCGAATAGAGAACACAGACAAGGTTGTGGAAACTCTAAATGGATTATTTGAGCGTTTCAGCTTCGTGAATATGCTCGTCTGCCAGGGATAAGAGACTGTGTATGAATTATTCCCTACTGGTCACATGGCTGTTTGTATGATGAGTAGAGCCCTGTGTTTTGGTTGATCATGTCACATGACCTGGATTTGAACCTTTATTTGAAGCCTTTTCCAGAAATTAGACCAAAAATGAAAGCAATTGTCTGAGGATGATGCTGGACCATCTGACATAAAAAGAAAAGGGGAAAGTTTTATGAAAAAGCTTAAAATCCAGGTCATGTGACATGATCAAACAAACCCAGGGCCCTAGTGATGAGTTATTTAACACGTCCCAATGACAATTAATTAATTCAGCTGCTGATTCAATCTATCCAAATCAGCCTCTTGAATTATTAGGGATCATTGATTTATGCAACAAGCCAAAAACTAAATCCTGAGGGAAAAAAACAGGCACAGTACCTGACAAAATCCAGCAATAATGTAAAAAAAAATTGAACAATTGCTGTATAACAAATAAAACGATTCATACAGTGGGCTTTATGAATCACATGCATGATCCAAATGTACTTTTAAGCATGAGTGAATAGGGAAATGTCTATTTTGGGTTTGGCTTTTTTAGTCTCAACACTTCAAATCAACTAAGCCACAGTGACCCGCTGTTAGTTGAAAATCCAACGCTAAGCCTTGTCGAAAAAACGAAATCTAGGCCACATGATTTCTGTTCCAATCTGCAAGGAATCTATACGCCTGTAAATAGCTCTGCATACAAACTATCAAATTATACTAAAAATGCATTTTTCATGAGCCGCTGGGAAAATGGGCAAAGGTTTTTATACCGAGGTCCCCCGTTTCAGATCTCCGTTACACTCTTTTTTCAGAGGTTCAAAATCTTTGGCCGTACTTCTGTGACAGGTCTAAAATAGAGAGGATAAAGGAACCTGGGTTTCCTCATTCTAACACCTCCACAGCGCAAGGAGGACACCGAGGGACAGGGTATCCCAATTTCAGCAACATGAAAGCCCTGTCACTCTCTATTTATCTCACCAACTTTTTTCGGAGAGGGGAAAAATAGATGATTTTATCTCTAATACTTCTTTACCTGAGAACGCCAGTAATTGAAAACAGGGTTTTAAAGCTGTGAGAGAGGTGCCTTGTGATGGGAGCTGTGTGCTTCTTACCAAAACATATTAATCACACATTCACATGTACCAATCTACCATAATATTAGACATTAAGTGCAAACAATGTACCTACACAGATACCCACACATAATGCACTATACCACTCTCTGATAAGACTATGTAAATATTCACATATTTTAGCCTGTGTCTGCGATGACGCAGAGCAGTCCATTTGCAGCAGATTCAAGATTGGTCAGCGGTGCTATTTGAAAGGCTGCTTTCTCCTCTCCCACCACGCATGGCTGTTTAAACACTCTGATAAGCCAGCGTGTCTGTTTGCCTTTGGGTTTGGATAGTGGTGCACCGCTGGGTGGCCAGCACTGTTGAGGGGAGGCCCAGCTCTCTCCTACTGCTACTTCCACTCTGCCTGCCTGGCTCTCAGGCACGCAGACTGAGCCTCCAGATTAGTGGTATCTCAGCCACTGGAACAACAGGGCTTTCAAAAGTAAACAGTACTCCAAGTTAAAGTTCCCATGCAAAATCATGGTTTATTTCTAGTTTTCTTTTTGTGATGGCCCCTGTGTTTATCAATGTGTCTGACCGGCTGTTTACAGAAGCAACGAGGCGGCAAAGTAGGGCATCAAATCAAACAGCTGTGTGACATGGGTACCCATTTTCTGGGCTCGCCCTAGCTCTCCCTCTCCAGTGCACTGTGACAAGCGCAAACACAGCCATCCCAGAACCTGCATTCCTGTCCAAGCAGCACAGACGCTCTTGGCCAGTTCCTGGTCCTGGCATCATCAGCTGGAAACACACTCTTTAACAGAGATGTTGAAGCATTAGATAAAAGCAGGTGATAGTGAGTGATTTTCCCCTTGTTTTTCCCTTGCAGCAACATATTTATTCGGAGAAAAAAAAAAAAAAAACTCTGCCTTATAATTACCCTGGGTTCAGTCTAGTGCTTGTCTGTAATATCAGGGCAAACCTGGCTCGCCGCTCGTACAGTAATTGAGAACTTCACTGACAAAGTGTTACACTGACACTGAAACACATTAGAACACTGTACGCGTCTCCAGATAATCCGTACCACACCCTAGATTGATCATATCCAACAGACAAACGTATAATTACATGCATGTGAAGGAAAAAAGTACATAGCGACAACTTAAAAAGGTCTGTTTTTGTGACACCGCCCTTCAACACCACTCAGATGAAGGCTAATAGGCTGTGCTTGTTGACACAGTCGAGGGGGAGAAAACACAGAAAACACCAGCCTCATTTACGCTACACTGCGAAATTAGCCGGTCCTTAGAGAACAGGGCTGAGGTTGAGCAGAGAGTGAGAGGGAGGAAGAAAATACAAGTCTGACATTCCACCCGGCTCCTTAGCGAGGAGTAACAGAGCTAGCATCTGTAATTTTCCTTCCAGTGGTCAAACGCTCTCATTCAGCGATGGGGGGAAAAACAGTCTGCAGTCAGCGTTTTTATACACTGCACTGATAGAACAGAAAAGGCCTCAGTTAGGAATGACTATGCCCCGACTCATTCTATCTCTTCTGAGGACGTTTAAATCACTCTCCACATTGTGTGAGACAACGAGAGGATAAAACAAGAAGCCGTTATCTCGAACAGACACACACTAAGAGATGAAATTCTCAATTTTTTCAAGATACTGGTTTATTTATTTTTCCTCCGAGCCCGGCTTCTTAACATTTTTGAATTGCATCCAGACAGCGGCTGTCACTGTTTGGCGATTAAATGACAATCTGGATAAAGGACACGGAGGCGGAAAAAAGGGAAGAGGATGGATGAGATTCCTGCGTTGACATTTTGTGACAGGCTGACATATCGCTTCCTGTGGCCTTACCAGATGATAATTATTCCTAATGTCCCGGCGCGACGCAATGACACTTGAACTGTTTTTCCTGCGGTTAATCATCCACTTAAATTGACAGTTTGCATTTAATAAATTACCATTATGGAAAAGCAAAGGTTTTACCTTTGTTTTAGAGAGTCGGTGAAATACATAAACAACCCTCTCCACTTCCCTATTAACCCTCACATCTAATCAGGTTCTCCTTATCAAGTACTGAGGACAGAGGGGACTTCAGGGTCTTAACAGGCTAGGAGTAATATAGAGTTTCACCACGTCTGTCTCATTGTATTATGGTAGGTCTTCAGAGGGACAGGTGGCACCCTTAGCAGTAGTACCAGGTGGCACCCTTAGCAGTAGGGGGGGGTGGGGTGAGTATTGTGCTCAGTGCTGTGCTCCAGCTCTCCTGACCCACAGTGCGATGAGATGGACTGGTGTGGGCCAGTCTGTCTCCATGGCCTGTTGTGATGTGCCCTGTCAGAGCCGGGGCTCCCCCTGGCCACCCTCCCATCTACATTTTTAACATGCGTTTTTCTGGATTTTTTTTTTTGTTATTCTGTCTCTCACTGTTCAAATAAACCTACCATTAAAATTATAGACCGATCATTCCTTTGTCAGTGGGCAAACATACAAAATCAGCAGGGGATCAAATACTTTTTCCCCTCACTGTAGCTTGATTATGTGTTAGATCTGCCTGCGTGTCTGTCAGGACGGATGTGGAAAGAATGCAAGAGTCGGTCGGCCGGCAAGCGGAGGCTGCAGAGACCCAGAGAGAGAGAGAGCAGCTTGGAGAGATAGCACCCCATTAGAGTGATAAAGGAGGCCTGCAGTCGACAGGACCAACAGGCAGGCAGGCCAGGCTCTGCTAGCTGATGAATACCAGGTGGAGCGGGTCAAACGCGATAAAGGAAACTGTTTATTTTCTTATTTCAAAACGCCATTGCCTTTCCTTAAACAGTCTCCATCGCCGCCGCCGCCACTACGATAGGGAAATGTCCTTATAAATATCAACTATAAACACAGGCCCCGCGAAAGATGGGAAGCTTGTCTATGCTGGTTTTTATTAATCCATTTCCTCCGGGAGTCTTACCCTCCTTCCTTGTTTTGCTTGTTCTGACCTCCGTGCTTTGTTGTCTGGTTACACAGCATAAACACATCTATCTCCTATTCTCTCTGCTAGTCCCTGTTTCATCAACTCCATTATACTGCTAACTCAATGTTAATATTACCAGGGACATTCTTTGCCAGTAATTTAAAAAAACGCCCTGGTTCTCAATGTTCACAAAGCCATGACATTCTATTTCAGAATCATTGCTTTAGATCCATGTTTGGGTTGTATTCCTAGGGCATAATATATAATTATGACCGTGACACTGTGTTGTAGCTGGATGTCAATAGCTCTGGAGAAGCTGATTTCTTATGCATTACTTAACGTTGCCTACAGGCTTTATACTGTGTGGCTTTGAATAGATGTAACTTGTGTTCTTGCCTCAGTAAATAGTATGTGTGGACATCCATCAAGCTCTGTTTACTGACATGTTATGTACGCTACACTCTCTTTTATATGCTAATGCCCTTTTGTTTCACTGCGTCTGCCTAGCAACAGGTGTTTTTAGACTTTTTCACCTGTGAGGAAAACAATATTGAGGTAGCCTACTGCACTTTTCTATTAAATCTCCCTTTTTTATCTATAAACAAAGAAAATAAATAGAAACTAAGCTGAACAACTGGGCTTTTTCCCCGAGACATGTTAATCTTCCACCTTTGAAAGGCGCCTAACCAGCTCCTGGAA